CTTGGATGTTAGTTCTCAGATATGGGAATCTAAACCGGCATTCTGTGCCATAGGAAGCTGCCGGCAACCAAGAACAGGGATGTCCTTCAGCACCACCAATACCACAAGAGGTACTACTATTGGAAGAACTCAGTTTTGTGCCAAGATTGCGTTTTCAGAAAGGATGTTAAGATTTATTTTCGGCTGTGCTCAAGTTGGCAATGTCACTAGAGGCCAATTCAAGTGATACGTGCGTTATGAATTAGATGAGTAAGATTTAGTATCATACCATAATTTCCTTAGTACATGTTCTTCTTCTCAATATTCACAACATATGACTTAGTTATTCTAAAGGTTACTCTTACTGGCTTTTAATTCTGATGGTGGGCCACAAGCTCAGATTGCTTTAAAATTCTCATCACTCATGTTGGAAAGCTTCAGTAGCCCCTGAGCAACTTCAGAGTAATGAAAACCTTTTGCTCTTTAAAAAGGCATGTTTTGTTAGGGGAGTTTTGTTGCTTTTGAAAAAAAGTCTAAAGAGACAAACTAAACCACAACCCATTGACAGTGGGAGAAATACCCAATTAAAATAATACAATTGAAAAATTGTGTTATTGTATAGTTGATTTTCAAACATTATCAAATGTAGTGCTAATGTTACCACTTCTTTTACCTTTACTTTTTGGCAATACTGAGAACATTTGTTGTAGTAGCAGTAGCAGACTTCACAAATTGCATATGCTAGTTTGCTTATGCTATGTGTTCCTTTCCCATTCAGGGCTTTCATAAGCTTTTTCCCCCCATAAGCATAAAAGTACAGAACAGTGCTACTAATTCAGAATTGCTTCTGCATTCTCTGTCCATCAGACTTCTTAACAAGTGTTTAGCCCAGAAGTCTGTTTTTCTCATGTTGTGGACTTTTAAGATGAAACTCTTATTTTGAGAATTCTTTTTCTTGCTATCTTGTCCCCAGTTTATCTATAGTGGCTTGTTAAATCATACTTAACATATAACGCTGAGTAATTGCATTTGCCCACATGTTCTGAATCATGTATGTGTTCTGAATGGAATATAATTATTCTCTCATTAATTGAAGAATATGATTTTTATGTTTTAGTATTACACAGAAGTGAAGTACTTAATATTATATTCTACTCAGGGAAAGCTAGGTGTTCTGAAAGCATCAAATCTTGCCAAGAGAATGGAGTGCATGAATCTGAATGAAATAATTAGATCTTCATCATACATTAAATTTGAGCTTTAAAGTGATGAGCTGTTTCATAACTGTCTAAATATCTGGTGGTTATAAAAAATTCAGTCATGTTGATTTCATGTGTCCAAGCAGTACTTCCACACTGTAATTCTTGCAGGTTCAGTGCTTTGTTTATGCATTGTTACTTCTACTCTCAGAAGTCAATTATTACAGCACTTACTAAGAGACAAGTAGATGCCAAATCATGGATTACCCATGGAGGAGAAATAGTGATTTGCATGGTATTATGGCATTCTTGCATTGTGGTAAGAAGTAAACTGTTTGTGCCATGTCAGTGAGTTCGGAAGGCAGTAATACTGATTTTGTATAGTTCCTGAAATGATTTGTTATGATATTAGATGACCTTCTGAAAGCTCCATCTTCTAGAAGTGGGTAATTGATATGAAAAGTGCATAGATTCTCCCATGCCTGTTAGTCTTGTCTATCATGGTATCCTCTTTAGAAGCCTGAGGTGAACAAAATGGACATGGGAACTGAGGATTACAGGGGTAGTTGAAAGCTTCCTCTCATCTTTGTTGCGCTGAATCATTTGCTGTAGTGTTCATGGAGCAGATCTGAAGGATTTTCGTACGTGCTTACTATTGGTTTTATCTAGTGTCTGTGTTTTTTCCTTTTCTTGTTTTCCAGATTGCACCTTTATTTTGTTTTCTAAATGTAACCCTGAGGTTAAGTAAGTGTCAGAGATACCAGTCAGAACTTACTAAATAGTACATTTTCGACAGTGTTTATTGTTGCAGTGACAAGGTAACTTGCACATTTCTGAACTGCTGATAAGAAATTGTAAAAAAAAGCTAAGGGCCTACAGTAACTAAAACCATGGCTGCATTTTCATGCTAGTTATGGAGAAACACTTCCCCCTCTCTGCGGTAAATGCTTTTCAGGTAATCACAGATTCTGGCACCATATAGTCTCCCCCAGTGTTTTGTTTTCTGTAACAAGTTTTATGTCAGAAGTGAAAATAGTTTTGTAGTCCTTTCATTTTTGGAAAAAAATGGCCCTAATATATGTACCACTTCATGGCTACCAAATACTGTGCCTTGACACAAATAACATGCAGATACGTGTCACCGCTCTAAAAAGGTTAATTGATATTTCAGGATGTTGAATGTCTTCCAGGTAAACATGAACATAGCCAAATACTTGTTACATTTTTCTTTCAAGAAAATAAATAGTCAGACCATTGTGAAGCCTTAGGCAGCATGCTATTTGTTAATCAAAACTTGTTCTCATGCAACTATATTTAAAATAGGGAAGACACATGAATCGTACAGGAAAACAAAGTAATTTTAAGGTAAAGCAGTTTAAAAAAAGAGTTATGGCTGCTGTTCAGCTATAAACTCAGGCCACTGTGCTGCCACATATATTGTGTTTGTTCTGAGCCCTCTACAATGTTCCTGTATAGATGGATATTAAAAGTGAAATAGAAGACATAAATTTGTGTTTCTTTACTTTTGATGGTTTGTTTTTCAAGCTACTTACACTACACTGTTTAACAGCTTTAGAAAAGTCTTAAAAGTCAGGCTGCCTAGGATATTGTTCTTGTCCCTAGTGGCATAGTTTTAAAATCCTGGATAAGCTGCTAGCCTGCCTAAGGCTTGGTTTCCACACTAAAGTAACTGATGAAAAGTCCTTTCTGAATTGTGGAGTGGGGGTCTTGAACTTTAGTGCAGTATGAAGAGCCGTGGCTTTCCAGAGCTTTCTCACTGTCTCTGTGTTTGACCTTAGTGGTTAGGTGTTTTATCAGTATCGGTGGTACTGTTTCCTGTTGCCTGCCTCGGGCTGCTCCCACCACTAGCCCATAAGGCAGCACTTGGGTCCTTCTTTGTTTACCATTACCAGTTTTGATAGGGTTGTTTAACTGAACTGATCTAAAACAAGATACTAAGATCTTTATGCTCCTGAGAGAACCAGAGGTAATTTTTTACTTAATTTTACTGAAGTTTGTGAAGAGAAAAATGTTTTCCAGTTGTGTCATTCTGGTATAGTTTGCTGGAAGATTCCAGATACTGTCCATTACTGTGATTGACTTGAGCACATCCACAGAATCCACTTTGGATTGCGGTGTACTTTTGGGTGGGATGGGCAATGCCCTATTGTTTTAATCAACCAAGATGTAAACAGGTTAGAGGAAATGAAAGTAAAGAATTATGATTAAAAATTAATCTGCTTTTAGAATTTATAAAACTTGTCTTTTAAAGCATCTTTAGTTCATAGGCTGTGGGCGTACTGTTACTAAAGCTATGTCTACCACAAAGTGAGCTAGAACAGATTTACAACATTTTAGCTGTGTCCATTTGTGTTGCATGCATACTTTCATTGATTTGGTTAATGTGTAAACGTCCTTATTTTTACCACAAAATGAAACCTGAATAGGGGCATTTATTGCAGAGCAGCTGACAGACTGCAGGCTGACCTGTTGAAGTTCCTCCTACTGACTTGTTCCCATAGTTATACACAAAGTCAATCTGAGACTGTCCGTGTCTTTGTTAACTTTGTCTGGCCTTGGCTAAACTCTCTAAACATCTTGGACTGGCAGTGGTGGTTAATAGGTCATGATATGTAATTTTCCTTCCGGTATGCTTAGTCATATAGCTTTCAGCGTTTGTGACATCATTGGTATAATATGGATGCAATCTGTAAAGAAAGGCAATATAAAATACATTAATATGTAAATGTAAATGATATAGCTGCAGCAAATTTTGGAAGTGCCGTCTTTGAGCTGTGCCTATGGAAGATATTTCTGCCAGTCACCTTCTCTCCTATCCTTCATCTAGAGATCACTGTCACTGTAGGAGGCAGGGCAGCTGTTGGCTTGTCTGCTGTTCGCAGTACAGCACCTCTGGGATGGATTTGTGCTGTAGATGATTTTAGCTGAATTGTTGCACTGGTAAGAGATTACCTGAGATGTGGCACGCTTTCACTGTTACTGAGTCAAGGCACAATATTTACTAGCAGAGGGGAGACACTATGTTAAAAAGAACCTGTATGCAAATTAACTTGCCAGATGGTGAGGCTTTATATTTCTACTTTTCTTTATCCTAGAAGGTCAGGTGGGTTATTTTGTGAAAGACTTGTAGTTCTGTTCTTCCGTACTTCATTTATGCATGAGGTGTAGCTTGATAATGTTTGAATATCATTTGAGATTAATGATTAAAAAGCAATCTGAAATACATTTTTGTGTAGCTTCCTATTAAAAATTCTGTTGCTCACATGCTTAACTGGTTTTCGGCTTTTCAGTAGTAACAATTTAAAAAGCAGCACAGAACTATTTTTGTCATTAACATCTGTGTATGGTACAATGCACATGAGTAGGTCTGTTGATTAAGAAATTACCATTTTTAGCTGGTTTACCATTTATTGGTAATTTTTTTTCTTTTTCCTAAAAAGAAAAATAAACAAGAAATAAAATTGAATCTGTAACTTTGCTGATAAACTTCCACAAGGAGGGGGAGTCTGCCTTATTTTGGATCCTTAGTTGTGTGTTATGGATTCGTTCCAACAGATCCAAGGCATATGAAGTCGCTTTATTTCAGGTGGTCACAGGCAGTTTGAACTGATAAATTTGGCAAGAGAAAGAAGAAAATCTGTCTTCGAGTCCAGGGGATTTTGCAGAGTGTGCATTGCATAAAAATGCTTAACATTTGTAGACCCTGACATTGCCTTCATTGACACAGACCATTCACAATATTGAAAGTTGACCTGAGTGCTTCTGTGCCATCTGATTGTAATCTAAATTTGTGTTTTATAGCTTGAAACAATTGGATGGCAGCTTAATCTTGAAATGGCAGAGTCCATGCAAGCAAAGCTGAAGTCTCCTCGAGCTGTGCTAGAGCTGGGAGTGAGCAATGAAGATTCAAAGGTGAGAAATACATGCCCGACAAGTGTTGGAATGAGTTGTGGTGATGGCCTTATGCTCCAAGTTCTGAGGCATCAGTTGGAACTCTTGATCATTGTTAGTCTTGCCAGTGTTTTCATTTTTATATTTCATAAAATTACAGTAAGCACTTGAAATTGTGAAGTACTGATGTAATAGCGTACGTATTGGGTACGTTGAGAGCTGTGTTACCGGCTCTCTGGGCTGTAATGTAAGAGAGAAATATCCTGGAATATCGTTATTAGAGGTCTCTAAAATATCTTTGTAGATAATTTATTTTTATCACATACCCTGTGATTGGTACTTCTTATACTTTTAATGCCTAGTAGCTTGCAGCCTTCTACCATGTGTGTAGTTATATAAGATATTACTCATTACTTGCAACCTTTCTGTGCTAATGATGTATTTATATGAATGATGACATAGTATGTGAGGCCACAAAAAGCCAATATTTGGAAGTTTTAAGGTAAAGTCTGAAGTTCAAGGATTTTAGTGACTGGTGGTCTTTCAGTGCCAACATCCACTAATGAACGTAAGTTTTTGTTCATAAAATCTGTATCTTTCGTTAGCTAACGTGTTTTAAATTAAACACATGAATTGCTTTTAACTTTATCTTGCAAATGGAAATTGAAGTCTTTACTTCTGTGGTGTCTGTCAGAGTGTTTATCTATGAAAAAGTCAGTATAAAACATCTGAGGGGAAAAAACAGAACTCAGTTCTCCTTTAGCATTGCATTTAAATCACAGTAATTTTGCTAATGTGAGTGGAATTTCTGGTTTATGGTAGAATAAAAGAGAATATACAGATTATGTTTGTGGTTCTCACCAAGATTTGTAGCAGTTGTATTTTTTTTTTCCTGCACTTTTGAAATGCAAACTCAGAAACTAGACAATATTTTATGTCCAAGATGCACTGGGCAGCACTGCATACAGATTCAATTCTGTGTCAAAATAATTTTTAAAAAATGATGAAAAAATGTCACTTTCACATGACACAAAGTTCGTCTGTTTCCTTTACAAACAGAATTCAGCAAGTGGATTTTTTTTTTTTTTATTGTTTCCTCTCTGTTTCTTTTTGTGGGTATAATTAGATAACGAGATCAGAATTATTCTGCAATAATTACAAGCCTAGAATAGACTTGTAACTGACATTTAGACAGAACAGTGCAATAAGAAAAACATATTAATGTTCTCGCACTACAGACACTAAAATTTAAAAATGCAGGTTAGTATGAAGAGAACTAAAGGGGTATTTTTCTGGATGATTACATCCTAGTATAGAATAGGTTTAAGATTGGCTGATATCTGCTTATATACTGACAGAAGTGCGGGAACGTAATTTTTGTGCTGTATTTTGCATCTTCATGATCTCTTTGTGCGCTAAGTTATCTGAAAATCCTAGATACTGGATACTTTTTTTTTTTCTCCTCAGACTTAGGCATGTGCCTTTTGCACAGAAATCTGGCATGAACTTAGTGTATATGTTCTTAATGATTATCTTAATTTCCCTTGAAACGTCTTAATTTTTTTTTTTTTTTTAATAGATGGTTTGTGGGTATAATAATAACTTGATTTGTTTCAGGAAAGGCCTGAAACGCTGTTAGAGAGGAGCTTCGGTGGGCTGGCTCTTTAGGGGGCAGTAGTGCTCTTTGTCACACTGGCTCTTTGAATACTTTTTTGAGATAATACTTGGAATCAATTCTGAAGTCAGTTGTTGTTGGAAGTGTTAAGTGTTTACATTTCTAATCTGTATATAACAATAGAATTTTGTCTTGCTCATCTACAAAACTAAAGCCTATTAATAAAAAATACCACACTGAGCAAGGTAAATGAAATTGGCCATATTTCTGCTTTTGATAACTAAAATTAATTGTACTAATGCATCAGTGTTTACCACAACTCACTTCACTTAAAGATTATTTAAATAGTTCATTGTGAGAAGCTGACATTTAAAATTAGTATTTAAATTATCTCTCCAGGAGGAGTAATCAGAAAACCTGTGGATATATGAATGTTGTTTGTGCTTCATGAAATAAAAGTCAGAGGATCTGCTATCTGCTATCTAAATATTTATAGTTTGTCTGCTTCAGATGAAATGCAGAGTCTCATAGGTATTATACCATCAAAATTCAAAAGTAAGGTGGTCTTTGGCTCTTTCAGGTGATTCAAGCTGCTAGTGACATTTGCATTGCCCAGGAAATACACTGCTTGTGACTACTAGTAATTGTGATCAGATTGCATGATTTTTGGTAAACTGTTTTTTCCTGGGTTTTGTCACAACTTTGCTGTTTGCTTATACTCAGACTTTGAATTATGCTTGATTTGGATCTAGCAGGTATTTAGCATATGCCCTGAAAAGTTTTTCACCGTGGGAGTGATTAAGTATGGGAGTGAGTTACCTGGAGAGGCTGCAGAGGTGCCAACCTTGGAGATACTCAGGAGTCAACAGACAAGACCTTGAGCACCCTGGCTGCAGCGTGGACTTGGCCCCGCTGTGAGCAGGCAAGGGGGGGATCAGAGGGCTGCTAAACGTGGCCTTCCAGCCCAAGTTGTCCTGGGATCTGGGCTGCTTTGCAGCTCAGTTGCTGATGGTGTTCTGTATGAGGAGGAGGAAAAAGGAGCATTCAATTAAAAATCCAATTAACAGCGGCTTCTTACAGTGATTTGGAATTTGAAATATTTAATTGCATTTGTAATTCTGAGGGAAGTGGAATTTCTATTAACTAGGCACACAAAGCAAGCTGGTGTGGTAGGAAACATCCTTTTGAACTGCAAGATCCTTTTGCTTCCATTCTGAAATTTTAATGAGCCAAGGCGACATTTCGAACTAATATGTAAGGTATCAGCTGTGTGTAAGGGTTTTCTTTAATGATACAATTTGGTGTCAGATTTTTTGGGCTGTTGAGTTGCAACACAACAATCTGCGTTTTTTTTACAGGGTACTGTTATTTTTATGGCTATGGGGTGAATTAACCAGTAGGGGGAGCACAAATTAACAATCCTGATAATCTGTGCTGCTAATTACGATTTTGATTTGTGAACAAAGACTGATGCCGAAAAGTGCTGTGTTTATTTAGTATCTGTTTTATTCAGTAATTTATTTAATTATTATCCACATAGGCACACACCCACACATTATTTCCCAGTGTTCATAGTGGTAATTCCTTAGGCCGTCTAGTCCAGACCTTTCTAAACAACTATGATCATTTTCTGTAACCATCGGAGCCATATTAAAAAAAGGACAAAAGTAGTAAAGGCTGTAGAAAAGGTCTGAGGGCTTCAGAAATGTCACATCATTGGTACCAAATTTCTCCGCAGAGGACTGTGAGAATTAAGAGTGTGTTCTTAAAGGGTTTCTGCTATGCCTCTTCTGGGAAGATCCAGTAAGGTGCATTACTGTACAAGGCATTTATTATTGTGTATTTTTTACACATGATCTATAGTTAACATTTATTCTTGAAAATCGTTAGGATAAATAAACGATTCTTGCCCAGTGTTGTGTCTCGATAGTATCCAATTTTTTTCTGTAAATCCAGTCCACAGATTTCATTAGATTTAGTTATCTAATTACAGTTTGTCCTGTGGAAGGCTGTGCTCTTTTCTTGGTTTTCTTTCTCTTCATTTAATCTATGATTTTATTCTTATCCATTAAGCACTTCTTTGGGGAGCTCTTTTATTCAGTGTGAATGCCATATATAGATTCCTTGTGAGAATTCAATACTTTGTTTAATTTGTTCTTTCTTTATATATGTAGTTGAAGAATTTTGTTACAGAATTTTGTCTGCCAATGCAAGACAGAAAATAACTGATAAATATGCTGGTTTGTTAAACCTTCTAATGTAATACTTTTGACAAAAGACAGAGAATATTAAAATGTTGCTATACTAATTTATTTTTATTTCCTTTTAATTCATTTCCCATAGCTTCTAGATGCTTTAAAGGGGAAATATAACAAAGGAAATATTTTAAACTGTGTTTTCTGCAACTGTTTGTTCAAAATCAGAATGGGGTCTGCATTTGAAACTGAGATCGTGATACATATTCATCATTCTGTAGAGTAAATAGAAGTCTGGAAATCTTAACTGATTATTTTTTACTTGTTAAAATAACAGGACATGGTTTGCTTCTTTTCCTCCTAATTTTTACATGCTTTCTACACGTTTCTGGACTGTGAACAAGTCCACACCTCAGATGTTTTGCTCTGTTTGCTTCAGTCAGTATGCCATTCTGCTTTCTGAGTTTGCCATTGTGAATACTTCCCCCCATCTTTAGCAGGCAAGCAGAGTAGATGAGAAGCAAAGCTGTGCTTCTAGCGGAGCTTGAACAGGCACTCAGTTCAGGCTGTAGATTCTGTGCAGCCTGTATGGCATGCTAGCAGGACCGGCACTTGGATGGATATTTAAGGGAATGTGGTGGTGCTTCCCCTTCCCTCTCAGTTTAGGCCTTTGTTTCCCTCTGAAAAGGAGTTATATTTGTGGAGGGGCATAACAGTGTGAGTTGGTGGATGCTAGTGATATGTTCCCACTCTAAAGAGGTAGGAGGTGTCAGAGTTGAGCATTTGTACCATAATGTATCTCCTTCATTTGCCTTTCCAGTTCTCAGCTTTTGGGGTGATGCATTTAGGTTTCTTTTTTTTTGTTTTCAAAATGGAGGAGTAATTTGTATCTGTATGGCCTCAGAAAAAGAGGACAATTAAAAGACATGATGCTGGAGGAACTGTGATGAGGTGCAAAGACTAAACAATTGTAAATTGCTTCTCACATTCATCAGCTATCTCTCAACCACTTTCTGTTTTGAAGAAGACATCACCCTTCTCTTTCCAAGAACACAAACAAGCTTGCATGTAGACCCTCGAACTGAGTTTAGTCTTCTCATCAAGCAGATTTGTAAGTCTAGCAGTTGCAAAAAGGAAGTAGGACAGGCCTTGGGAGAATGCAAAAATGTTGAAGGATGAGACTGAGAGAAAAGGTTTTTTCATCCTATTTA